TTGTCTGTATGTTCCAGATTATTATTACTTAAAACTGCAGCTTTTATTCCATYTGAATTCAAAAAGCCTTTTTACTGACCTGTTTTTGGCCTTTTCTAGATTATACGAGTGTAGTTTTGGACCTGTTGCTGCTTTCTGCTGACTATAGCCGGCCTGATGGAGATTGATCCCCCCACCTTTTTAACAACCTTCATTTATTGCCGATCTAACAAATGGATTAATCAGGAGCCATTGATCGGAGCGGTAAGCGGCAGTAAAGCCTGTTGGGAAGTCTTGAAAAGGCGCCGAGGGAAAAGGTTGGAAAATCCCCCTGAGAGCCGTTTAGTTATCAACGAAAAGAGGACGATGTCATATTTTAATGTACTGAGACAGACAGAAAACATGTAGTTTTATTATTCCGCTTTGTTTTGATTTTATCTCACAAACCGAGCTGTAAATGGTTGGAAACACCCAGCCTTCATCCCTCTCGTGCACAAAAGGATCCGTGAGAATATTGGAAATCTATAAGGTCCAGTTTACTGCTCCTAAAATCTAATTTAGTTTCAGCTTTCCTCTCAGATTAGTCCTGAAAGGCAACTTTACAAACTGTAGCTGCTCATCCAATAAATCAGCCTCTTGTTCAGGGTCAAACCACAGTTTTTATTTTTAAATGTTCTTTTTGTTCTTAGGCCACGTTTTATTTAAGGAAGTAATTTATTCACGGTAACTAAACAGCACTTTATTAACAGCAGGTTTGACAGCTCCCACACGATGGGATCTAATTTATTACCATAAGCTGTGAAGGTTGGTTAAGGAATATGGGTTTGTGTTTTGTCTCTGCGTGTGAGCTAATATGAGAATTAAACAAGCAGATAAATCAATGAGAATAATGTGGAGCACATCTGTGTGCAGTTTTACCTAAATGTCACGACGCTTTGTGAAAAAATCCTGCATTTCTCTGCTTTATTCTCGTGCAGATGAGCATCAAATGGTTTATAAATGACCTGCGTCAGATGCTAGATGGAAACAAATAATCCAATCAGGCCTGTTTGTAATAGTGTTTTAATTATCTCACCATCCTGAGTCACTTCCTAACACCAGTGGGAAAATGCAGGACCGCCGTGTTTTCTCCTCTTGTTTTTGCGTGTCAGAAAGAAATGGCCTTACGATTTTCTCAACACTTTTCTTTGACATTTTCTCCTCCATGACAGAAACATCTTTCTTCGCCCGGCAGACCTTCGGATCGTGATTCTCCAGTGCTGTGCCGTTTCAAACGTTGTGTTTTTAAAGGGCAAATCTGCTGATGGTTTTCACGTTTGGAACGCAGCTTTTCCCACGATGTTTGTGTGGATTTTTTATCGCGTTGATCTCCGATTCTTTTCAGCCGTTTTGTTCCAGCGGAGACGCCCGTGTGCTGGATAAAGAACTGAGTCAAACCCTTTTCATTTAAGCTCCCTCAGAATGTAATTACTGACAATAATGTTCCTTTTCTCAGCAGAAGATCTAACTGTTGCACATTTATTGACTGAGAGATGCAGACGTGTGGAAAAATCCTGCTAATAAGCACAGCAGACAAGCAATCCYCTGCCTCCCAAACAGCTTTAGATCCATTGACTTGTTCATTATTTGGGTCTGAGCTGTGTGGCGGGGGACATGAGAGGACTCTTTAAGGAAAGCCACTGGTTATTTGAAACAAKCAGGAAGTGAAAATCCAACAAAACCACACTGACTGAGAGCTGATTAAACTTTCTGTTTTGGTTGATCCAGGATATCAGAGTGAACTGAATGTAAAATCATGCTCAGCTTGTTTACCGCACCAAATGCATCAAACTCGTTTCATATTTCATTCCTGAGGAGGCCATTTGACGTCCTGCCTGCAGGCAGGAATCAGGCGGGACTGAATGAAGTGATGCAACGTCCGGCGCCACTGTGTGGAAACATGAACGCACACGTCCATCTTATTCCCGCTGAGTCCCACCGGCACACTGACCTTTTACCCGGCTGGTGGGGAAACGCTGGGCCCATCATTAGTTCCACACTGTTCAGGCTCGAGTCGACACTCAGCAGGCGTTCAGTGGTTCTACATCTTTGCACCATGTGACCTGATGAAGGTCATCTGGCAGCCGTGTACGTCAGGGTTTCACCTGAGCAGGTTATTAGGTACTTATTGAATCCAACATAGTCAAATAAGGAAATTCARCTTTAATTATGTTCATCAGGCACTTTGTTTTGATGCTTAAAACCTTTATTTGACCAGTTTGTCTAAAAATTTACAATGTCAGCTTTTAAAGATAATTGTTTTATAATAATAATGACAAAATGCAGAAAAAAACTAATAATATTATGAGAAATATTTGCGCTAACAGGGTTCCCACGGATCCATGAAAAGTCTTAAAAGACGTTGAATTCATCAATCCAAAAATAAGGCCTTAATTAGCCTTAAAAGGTCTTAAATCAATCTTCAGAGGTCTTAAAAAATATTAACACATTGTAAGTAGGATGACTGTTATTGGTATTAAATATTAAAATAATTGGTAACATTTATTTATTTTTGAAATATTCCCATTCAGACATTCCCTTTTGACATCACTTCCTGTTATTTCACATGCAAATATCTCAACAACTGTCCATCTGAGCGATGTGAAATTTGTTTTGTAATATGTTAATAATGTTGTCTTTCCAAAAATACATTCATATTTCTGACAAAAAATTGATGTCACATGCACTTTCAGGTTTCATCTACAGCAAGTTAGGGTTGAGAACCCACTGCGGGTCCTAAAACTCCAAATTTTGTGTCGTTAGAGGATTTCCAGAAATTAAATTAAGTTTAAAACTGACTGCTAAGAATATTTTTTTTGCTATATTTGACAAAATAGCAGTTAGCTATTGCTAATAGACAAATTGTTTTTTTATCCATATTTGAATAATTCAACCAAAAATACTTGGACTCATGAGTTTCTGCCACAGTTTTAATTTTTTTGTCATTTGTGTTTATTGTGAAATTGAATTGATTTCACTTGGCATTAAAAAGTCTTCAAATGTCTTAAATTTAACTTGCCTTAAACTGTAGGAACCCTGACTAAAAATCACAGGATCGTTAAAGCAACTGCAATAAGAAAAAAAACAACAACAAATCTCACTCTTATTTTGTTTAAAACCACTTTCTATTGTCTCTAAATGTTAAATATGGACTCTGGCATCACTTTAACATCACAGTTGACTGTTCAATGGCCTAATTTACAAATCACCAGATAACAGCCAAATATAATGAAGCAGCCCCTCACGGATCAGCTGGTAGGTGGGTGACACGTTTCCTACCAGCCTTCAGCTACTAATCACACATCACTCCACAAATTAAACGTCTATATTTGTTTTATTTACAGTATCACATTATGAAACACGGTCGCTCCTCTTTTTTTTACTACGGAGCTGCCGTCTGTCACTTCTACATTTACACTTGTTTATCCTGTCTCCACGGAGAGCAGGGATTGTCCCTCTCGTCCTGTGTGAATAAAGCTTTATAGTCCATGTTGGACTGAGGACGGTTCTGAGACATTGTGCACCTTGTCATTGGCAGAGTTTTATAAAAAAACATGAAAGTCGAGTCGTATTAAAAATGAAACACATTTATCTGTTTTGGATCTCTTTCTGAGAATAAGATGCAATGAAAGGTGCAGTAGAATTTTTATTTGCTTAATATTTTATAGTTTCTCATATGCTAATTCTAAAAATGCTCCTGCAGCTACAGAATTTCTTCCTGTTTGTGTCGACGTGTGTGTTCGGCTTCGTTAGAGCTCCATGATGGAGCCCTGAGCTGACCGTCTGCTGGGACACAGAGTCCAGTGTCCCTCAGTGTTTGCACTTAGCTGCCCGATCAAGGATGAAAGGTGTTTTCCTGGATTCCACCTCATGTGTCGCAGCTCGGCCTGCGATCTGATGGTTGAATGGAACGAGGCGCTGCGTCGCTGTGGACCATGTGAGATTTGGTTTGTCGGCGCAGCTGCAGGAGTCTTCGTGTCAGTCGAGGTGGGACTCCTGTGGCAGATGGTGAAAGGAAAGAACTCGTTTGTCGTTTCAGCGAGCCTCGTGGCCTTCATCGCTCCAGTAATGTGTCAGTTTTCAGCCGCTGTGGCGTGTGGTTCTCTGCAAAGATTCTCAGGTTTCCTCAAATGTAAAAGAATAAAAATAAAATCCAGGATATGTTTCAAAGCTTTAAAGTGCCTGTGACATGCATATCCTTCAAATACTAAAAGTCAAAGAAAACATCTTTATACTTAAGAAAATTGGCATAATACACATAATTTTACCCATTTTGTCMCATATCTGGCCTATTTTCTTTTGAATTTGGCTCAGCCAAAGTGAAACAGGAAGTTAAATAAATTTATTTAAGAGAATGATAAAAGTTAGATTGTTGAAGAAATATGAGTTTGTGTAGTGTGCATTCATAAGAACTGTTGTTCGAGAAGGAGTTAAAGTTTTTTGTAATGTTTTGTTATTTGAAGACTTTTATTTTTTTCAATTTATTTATCTTTGAAAAAAGGGCAGATATAAATAAGAATATTTTTCTTCTTTCTGCTACCTTTTGATTTTGTGTTGTATTATTTGTTGTATTTATAGCATTTGTTTTGTTTTTAAATAAAATGAATAAATAAAAACAGGAAGTGACATCAAAGGGGAACTCAGTAATAAAATAAACTCTGGTCTCTGTTTATTAAAACATTTTTTTAAACTTTAACTCTTCATCTCTCTTTAATAGCGACTAAAAATAATCTAAAGAAACATCAAATTTGTCTTTACAGTCTGTTAGCTTTTGTAACGACGCTCTGTTTACAAGCAGACATTCCCTTTGACATCACTTCCTGTTTCTTCACATGTAAATATCTCAACAACTGTTCATCTCAGCAGCGTGAAATTTGTTTTGCAACATGTTATCAATGTTCTCTTTCCAAAAATGCATTCATGTTTATTACAAAAAATTGACGTCACAGGCCCTTTAATGAGGTTAATGTTTCTCCTCACAGATGAAGACGGTGAGTGTAGCGCTGGTGCTCTGTCTGAACGTTGGAGTGGACCCTCCGGATGTGGTCAAGACGTCCCCCTGTGCCCGACTGGAGTGCTGGATAGGTMAGTGGATCAGAACCATCTCCACTCAAACCAAACAGAAAGAGCTCAGCTTCTTAAACCAAAGACCCTGAAGGTCCAAACAGATCATCACAGTGACCCAGCTGACCTGAAAGCCATCGTCACGTCTCTAAATGAATATTAAAGCTTCTCAGGTTGTGCACTGATAGAGCTTCCTGGTTCATCTGTTCTCCCCGTAGATTCTTGATCTTTTCATCAAATATGAGGTTCCTCCAACAACACCCCAAATCCCAGGCTGGCAGACCGCCACAGATCTGTAACCTCTTGATGAATTATTGCTCCGATTCATAACAAAAAAATCAGATAAAGCAGTTTTAACCTTTGCTTGACATCAAATCTTAGGTTTTACTTTGCTACGTTTGGAATATTTTCAGGTCCTCCCAGGAGAGCTGGAGACATGAGACCTCTTTTATATCAATCAGGGAGATGACAGGACGCGACACCCAACACAATGACAAACGATTCGTCTCTCCGCCGCCTGGAAACCTCTAAACTGTTGTTTAAATCTCCTGAGATGGGATTATTAAGAGTCAGGGAAGCACATCAGAGTTGGAGGATTGTTTCAAAGTGTCAGAAACTTTCACTGTGGCTTCTGAGAATGTTGTTCCGCTAACGTTTCATGTGATGTTAGTGAATATTAAATGGTTAAACGGTAAAGGGAGAGGSGACCGTCTCATGTTTTGACTCGACTTCCTAGAAATGATGAACGCAGCGTGTTTTTGACTTTCTGCGTTTTCTTGACAGACCCTCTGTCGATGAGTCCACAGAAAGCCCTGGAGACCATCGGAGCAAACCTACAGAAGCAGTATGAAAACTGGCAGCCCAGGGTGAGTAAAGATGCTTCCCTCCTCTTCCTCTGTGTCCTGAAATGAAACCACACAGAATCAAACAGGAGCAAGTCCTGGCTCTTTGCTGCTGAGTTAGTGCCGGTCATGATCTCTGAACTGCAGATTTCATATTGAAACATTTATTTGAGGCTGAGATCAGCAGTTATTATGATGATGAGGCATTTCTGCTATAATACCAGATGAGATGAGACATGATATGATACAAAATATATATGATGCAACACAAAATGTGTATTTTGAGACATGATATTGTCAGATACTGTATGATGCTCTGCAGTTTTATAATATCAGTGTTTGTCAGTTCTGCAGTAGTCAAACTGCTTGTTTTTCATAAATGATAGAAAGCAAAAAGTTTATTTTTGCAAAAAAATTCTAATAAAAATAGTTAACTTCCTTTTCATCATCTTAAAGAGTCAATATTATGTGTTTCTCAGGCATATAGTTTAATTCTACACCATAAAAAAATAAACTATGTCACCTTCAGTTATTAAAATGCTGTTTGTGTATAAATCAAAAATTAATTTTACTTAATATCATATCCATTTCTAAACACCTAGAAATTGGCCTCTGTCTCTTTAAGAACATTGTAATGCTTCCATCACACCCGTTTCTGCAGTCATCACAACAGTTTTCTCAAACATGCATGAATGAGTTAAACAAAGCAGGACATTGTATGTTTTTGATGAGAGTATAACATTATAATATGATATTAAACTCAAAAAAGTTTATTTTACATGATATTACCCCTTTAATAACTTCCAGTTAAATGTGACTTATTTTTCTGCTCATTGTTCCCACAAAGCTGCTTGAAACAATGAACATCTTGGTAGAAAAATCTGTGGCTTGCGCTTTTTGAATAATTTAAATTTTCCATATTTGACATCAGCCCAGTAATGGTTGTGTTGAACAGCAGCATTCTGCTCTGACGATGTTTAAACTGTGTAGAAAGATGGTTTAAATCAAATAAAATAATAAATGGTTTATTTGCTGTTGAGACTTTGACTCAGATTGAGAGGGTTCAAGTTAAAAATAAAAACAAAACAAATGAGTCGATGAGTTTTAGTTGCGTACACGTGAGAAGCCTCAGCATCAAAGTGCACATCATCTCGTCGGTGTGTCACTGCAATCTGTGAAGAGCCCAAAAAAACCCAACAATCTGATCACGAGGAGTAGAAATAGAAGTCCAACATCGTGCTGTTTGGTTTGATGATTCAGAAGAAATATAGATCCTAAGAGGAGGTGGAGAAACAACAACTCCAKAGACGAAGCAGCTAAAGAAACGTAGGCTCGGCTTCGCTTGACCCGACAGGTCAGCGGCAAACGGTGGGAGGAAGAGGAGGAGGAAGAGGAGTGGGAGGGTGAGAAAGCTGTTTGTTTCCAGCCCGAGGAGTCGAAGCTGTGCTGCAGAATTCACCAACACACCTTACATAAAGTGTTGACAAAGCAACAAATCAATTACTCTGCAGTTATTACCTGTTGGTGTCATCAGAGGGAGAAGGTGGCGTCAATCATTTAGAAGTTTGAGTTTGTAAACATTAAACCCAGGACAGAGTTAGAATGAAAAGGTTTTGATCAGCCCATGGTGTGGGTCTGAGCTCTGTTGTCACGACGTTGTCATTCCCTCCAACCCGATGGAAAGAAAACAGAAAGCYAAGCTAACTCCACCCAGCTGCCCACTCACTGTACGGACACAACATTCTGCCTTTTCTTCACCTCTCACTGCTTCCATGACATCATCGTGTTTCAGTCMGAGTTATTGAATTTATCTGTTTTCTTTTTTTCTCTGTGGGTTATTTATTTTACTCTGTCCTGTTTCATTGTGCAGAAAATAAACTAAAACAGAAATGTGTTAAAATAAGGTAATAATAGACTTGTCATGGTTAACCTCAGTATTGGCGGTATTTACTTTTTTTTGAAACCTTTATTACAGGGACAGTACATAATAACATTTCTGTAAATATGCCAGAATTWGTCAGAAGGCTATTTTTCACCTGCAGTCCCCAGACAGATGGTAAAAGTCACGAAAGTACTGAATGGTAAAAACCCTTATAAAGGGTATTTCAGACATTTAGAAGTGGGTTTCTGTAAGCCATAAACCGTGTTTCCATCAACGTTTATTTTAAGTGCATTTTGAATTATCATATTAGAATTGGAAAAATAAAAAAAATTGTTAAGTCCTCCGTTTTCCCCCCATGGAGTTTATTATGATTCAATAAATTGTGATCAGAAAGTGACCTATGAGTTTCSCTTTCTGTCTGATTAACYTGGGGTKGCATTTTTTCTTGCATCCACATCATGGAAGATTGGCTATAGGCCCATGAACTGTACACACTTCRTTATTACTGACAGCTGTGGTTTGAGGATCCTGAAGCTGCTTGGAGATGGTCTTGTAGACACTGGAA